ATTTCCATTAAAAAAAATTGTTTTGGCTGCAAAAAAATCCATTGCACTCGACAATGGTAGTACATCTTCTGCTATTAAATCAGCTCTAAGAGGTGCACGTTCAGCTGTGAAAATCGCAGGTTGAAAACGAAAAGTGAAACAACCTCGAATTCTACCTGTACCAGAAAAAAGTTGGTGGTTTTCTACCATTTCTTGTACCACTTTTTCCTGGACTTAGTGCAATAGGGGCCCTATCTGGTGGTGCTGCTGGAATTACAAAAGCAGTTAATGACGCAAAAGCAGCAAAAAAGCAACTCTAAGAAAGTCAACGTCATAACAAAACAATGGAATCTATAGCTTTGAGAAAAGGTCTCTATCTCAAGCCATACAAAATTGCGCTTATTATCGTGCTCAAGGCAGAGATGGGATACCTGCTATGGGATTCCGTTTAGCAACGGCGCTAAGTAGTGCTACGCTACGCTTAGCTACTCTACGGATTCTTCTAATTAAAAAACAACTTAAAAACAGGGTAGTACAACACAACACAGTACAGTACAGTACAGTACAGTACAGTACAGTACAGTACAGTACAGTACAGTACAGTACAGTACAGTACAGTACAGTACAGTACAGTACAGTACAGTACAGTACAGTACAGTACAGTACAGTACAGTACAGTACAGTACAGTACAGTACAGTACAGTACAGTACAGTACAGTACAGTACAGTACAGTACAGTACAGTACAGTACAGTACAGTACAGTACAGTACAGTACAGTACAGTACAGTACAGTACAGTACAGTACAGTACAGTACAGTACAGTACAGTACAGTACAGTACAGTACAGTACAGTACAGTACAGTACAGTACAGTACAGTACAGTACAGTACAGTACAGTACAGTACAGTACAGTACAGTACAGTACAGTACAGTACAGTACAGTACAGTACAGTACAGTACAGTACAGTACAGTACAGTACAGTACAGTACTTATATTACAATTTAAAAAAAACGAACAATCATCTCCATGCTTAACATAAACATTTATTTTAACCCTTTTATAACCCTTGGATACATTGTAAACAATTTTTACCGCCATCTTAAATAATTATGGTAACGAAAACTAAAAAAAATTTGATTTTTTGAAAAAAACTCAGTGTATTCTCCTCTTAAGTGAATTTCAATTTGTGTTATAGCTAGTGACTTTGCGCTACGCTCCGAAGCGATTACACCGTAGCGATTTGGAACAAAATCTTGACCAATTCGCTAACTCGTAGCGCCGATAGACTTTGTTTTTTATCTTACACGCCACTAATTAATTTTTTTGACAAAATTCAAACGGGAGTTGATCTTGATTATCATATACAATAAGTCTGTAAAAAAAAATTAATTTTTTAGTGCTAATTAATGCAATACGCTACTTAGCGCCGTTGCTAAAAGGAATCCCATAGCTGGGTCCTTAAGGACTATAACTGCCGATGTTATTAAGCATATCCATCTCTCTAGCGAAAGCACTACCGGCATGTTGAAACGGCGGCGATTTGGCAAGCCGCCTCGCTACCGATGCACCATGGGGAATGAGGAGGGAAAAATTGCCGTTGTAAGGTCCTTAGGGACCAAAACGGCGAAGAAGACCGGGTGCCCTTCCAGGAGAAGACGGTTAGCATTGATTCCCTTCGCCCGTGCAAGTAGAACTTGAGCGGAAGAAGGGAATCAAAGTACCCAGTGGGGACCTCGTGGAGGTTCCGTCTCCGAGCTAAGCTCCACCCACCGATGGTCTGGTAGGTCACACACACTCATTCACACACACACTCATACAATAGGGTGCCCAATGAAATGGCGGAACGGTTAGTAACATTCATCTTGGACCCGATAACACCCCAACAGGAGTGGGCGTGAGTTAGCAAGGACAAGAATCTTGCACTTCCAAACGGGGACCACGTGGAACATCCGCTCCCAGACCGAAGTGTCAGACCGCAGTCTGAAACCACAACGGTCTCACCCTGCCTCCGGACGAGGAGGCGTACTGCGTTCAAATTTCCCTCTTTAAGCGCGTTCCACACTTAAACTTTTCGGGCGTCCGACACGACACACGTGCCCCCTCTTCTCCATCTACCAAATGCATTCCCCTCCTGACGTAGGAGAAGTTAGTATTGAAGAGGGGGCACGTGTGTCGTGTCGGACGCCCGAAAAGTTTAAGTGTGGAACGCGCTTGAGTCGCCTCGTACGACACGCGATGGGATACGGGAAGACAAATTCTCCGGCCGGACTTCCACGGCCACCTTGCACGGGGAGAGTCCCATTTCACATGGTGAACACCTGGCAGGCGTAGTGCGTTCATACATCATCGGTAATGTCCCATCTCAGCGTCTCCGTCGAAGCGGTACTTAGCTAGATGGGTACAACCCTCCGCACCCATTTTAGTCGCCTTTTACGACATGCAGTGGACTACAGGCGCCCTATTCTGAAGCCGGGAGCGCCACGGCGGTCTCAAGCCATACAAGCAGGGATTCGGATTAGAATGTGCTGTAAAAGAGAAAAATCGGACAAGTGCGAGTTACACTCGCATTAAAACCGAGGGTTCCGTACCCTTAAACCTAAAATTTAAGGGGGTTTAAGTTGCACATATAATGAAATATTATCAGTTTTTCCTTGAAAACACTATGATAATCAACTCCAATCGTTCTCGCTATATATTTTTTGTAATCTACACGTAGAAATACGTAAAAATGTATAAATTTGAATCCCTTATGATAAAATTTTCTTCTTTTTTTATTCGAAAAATCCATGATTTTTTCTAAAAATATGTGTTTTCCTTAAAAACAATATGATCATCAACTCCATTCGTGCTCGCTATATTTTTTCTGTAATCTATACGCAAAAATACGTATGTATACCAAATATTAACTGTCTTGGTCAAATAGTGTGTGCGCTAGGAGGATTAAACGCTTTTTTTCAAAATTTTTGATTTTTCCTTGACAACGCTATGTAAATTGATCCGAATCATGTTCGCTATATTTTTCCTATCATTTTCACGTAACAATACATAAGTGTACCAAATTTGAGATCTCTATGTGAAAAAATGTGGCCACCAGAGGGGGGGGTACATAGTCATTTTTAGGGATTTTTCGTAAAAATTCATGGTTTTTCCTTGACAACGCTATGATAATCAATTCCTATGAGATTTGTTATATTTTTCCTGCAATCTGCACGTCAAAATACATATGTGTACCAAATTTCAGCCCTCTAGATAAATTCGTGTGGCCGCTAGGGGGGGGGGGTACATGCCTTGCTTCACTAGTCTCATTAATAGGGTTCCCCCTTCGGGTACGGAACCCTAAAAAACAAAAAACTAAAGATGAAAAAAATTGTTAAATTACCACATCGAGCGTTAACAAATTCTGATTTACTTGAATATGCTAAAATTTTGAAAATTTCTCACTTTCGAGGTGTTTTTATGCGTGATGAATTACCAGCTAAAGGACCACATAAATTTGATTCAGCTATAATTAATTTAGATAGTAAAAATAGTATTGGTACACACTGGGTTGCATATAAAAAGAAAAAAAATGATGTTGTATATTTTGACAGTTATGTAAATCTTCAACCACCTAGAGATCTTGTAAAATATCTCAAAGTGAAAACAATAAAATACAATCACAAAAGATATCAAAATTACAATACTTTTGTGTGTGGTCATTTATGTTTAAAATTCTTGTGCAATCATTTGGATGTAAAAAATTTCTATTTTCTCTCTTTTGGTACAAATAAAGACTAGAAACCATTTTTTTCTTCGGTTTACATTGAACCAGCAAAATGAACGATTCATTAACGTTAATCTTGTCTGGCAATACATCTATTTAAGGCCAGGTCCAAGTGAGGCAGCGCCATCTACATTGAAACTAAAATTTTGGAAAATTTTCAACAGCCTTTTCTTGAAAACAAGAAGGTAAAATGCTTTTTCCTTTATGGATAATTGATTATTATTGGCAAGATATACACCAGCTAAAACTTTTTTTGAGTTAAAATAATAAAAAAAATTTCATGTCAATAAATTAAATATGAGCACTTTTTTCACAAAAACTGTAACAGTACTTTCTCAGAAATTACAATCAAAAATGCAATTTCCATTTGGAAAATTAATAAACGCTAAAAAATACACGACCTAAGATTTACCAATCACGAAAATAACAAAAAAAAATTATTTTAAAATAACATATTTTACTCATTATGACAGCCGTTTGGCAGGTTATATATGTCACCAGAAGTTTCGCAGTTTTGCCGAAAGGAGGAGATTGGCGCTGTTGCTAACCACCTGAAATACCTAATCTACCAAAGGGCTGTCACAATCAGTAAAGCAGTATCAATATGTTAAATATTTAATAAAATTTTTTTTTGTTATTTTCGTGATTGGTAAATCTTAGGTCGTGTATTTTTTAGCGCTTATTAATTTTCCAAATGGAAATTTCATTTTTGATTGTAATTTCTGAGAAAGTACTGTTACAGTTTTTGTGAAAAAAGTGCTCATATTTAATTTATTAACATGAAATTTTTTTTATTATTTTAACTCAAAAAAAGTTTTAGCTGGTGTATATCTTGCCAATAATCAATTATCCATAAAGGAAAAAGCATTTTACCTTCTTGTTTTCAAGAAAAGGCTGTTGAAAATTTTCCAAAATTTTAGTTTCAATGTAGATGGCGCTGTCTCACTTGGACCTGGCCTTAAGAGATACAATACTTTCCACCAATTGAATTATCACCCAATAAACATTACGCTCTTGGACTCGTTGAACTTTTAACCTTTAATTTCATGCCCAATATAGATATTGGACAAAATAAATTTTATGTCGATAAAGAAGATATCACAATATCACATACAATTTTGACACCAAAAGGAATTAAACTCAACATTAAACCAAACAATAATACTTTACGTAGTGAGATTAAGTCTAATTTTCAGATAAATTTTATAAAATCTGATACAATAGCAAAATTATTGGGCTTTACACTGAAAAAGTCTTGGGCGCTCAGACTACCCAACGCGGGTATGAGCAGCACCAACGAGAAAGGAGATGCATCACCAATAGTGTGGTGATGACTATCCCCCTCTTTGGAAAGTCTGAACGCACAGTGTTAGTTGGTCATGATTTCCACGGCGTGAGAGAGCAGTACCTTGAAAGTGGGAGATTTCTCAGTTCCCAAGCTTTGGGAAAAGCAATAAAAGTGGAAAAGCGTTAGTTCTGTGATTTTGGAAGTAATAATTAAAGTTCGTGAAAGTTTTGTGCTGTGTTCTATTTTGAAATTACAAGTAAGTGACAAATGAAAATAAAAATTGTGATTAATATTAAATAAATAAAATTAATCTGATTAATTAATCAATTAATATGTAATAAATTATGTAATGAAATTAATTGAAAATACTAGAGGTATTTAATTTTTAATTAAATTGTGATTAATATTAAAGTTATTAAAATTATTTTGATTAATATAATCAATTTATAAAATTATCTAAAATTAAATTACATCTCTTTAACAAGAAAATTTATTCCTTATATGTGTCCTGACGCGGTGAAAGGGACCTTATGGTATAATAGCAAATTGTACTTTTGAATGTTTATAATAAAAAACGAATTGAACAAAATAATTTCTAGTTTTTGGAAATGAAAGAGCAACTCAAATAATTTGATTTCCAAAAATTAGAAATTATTTTGTTCAATTCATTTTTTATTATGAACATTTAAAGTACAATTTGCAATTAAACCATAAGGTCCCTTTCACCGCGTCAGGACACATATTATTTAATTGAGTTTCAAATATAAATTTTGTATTCTTAGCTGAAATTGTAAATGTTAAACGAAATGGAAACCAGCGAAAACAATTTTGACCTTACTTTTGATAAGACGATGGAGCTTGATGTTGATGAGTCAGTTGAAGGTTAATTAATTTTTTCAAATAATCATTTTCAAATATTGAAACGTTTTTCAAAAATAATATAATAAATGCGAACCAGTATTGTTGCTATTTATTAATTTTTATATTTTTTTGTGTTTTATTTTTTTAGAAAATTTTCCATTTAAAGAAACTGATTTATTTCATCTTCTAAACAGTTCTTTATTAGGAAAAATTGTATTAGGAAAATACAGAATATCTAAAGAAGTAGATTATCATTTGCTTAAAGAAATTGTCATAGTAAACATTCTTAAAGATCGACCTGACAGTTACAAGTAAGTATGATTACAAATTGAAAATTTCAAAAAAGTGTGTAGTCTACATTTTAATTTTGGCCAAACACATTTTTTTTGGTTACTGACACATAAAGATAAAATAAAATTTTATTAATTAATTAAATAATAATTAAATAAATATTTAGAAATTTTTATTGAAAAAAATGGAAACTTTTTTTTTTATTTTAAGATTTTTTTTAATTTAGCCTTTTTAAATTGTGAACTAAAATTTTACATGCAGTCGACTACACACGGTACCCTGGAACCAATCTCAACCCTCAACATTCTCCCTTTCAAAAATTCCTGTTGCAACAAGTTCGGGGTACCTCACTAAATATTTTCCAACAAGAAAAATCAAAATACGTCGGGCGCTTTTTTTTAATTTCAATTTTTGTGATTTTAGCGCCAAATTAAAAAAATGGTTTTTATAATTATTTAAAGTAAAATTCAACTTCACATGGTCAAATTTTGTTCAAGAAATTATAGAAAATTATAATTTCGGTAAAAAATTTTCTGTAGAATCGAAATCTGACATTGGCTTTCGAATTTAAAGCAGAGGAATCCCAGAAAATCCGGAAAACTGTTAATATTCTAAAAACAATCTCACCGTAGCATTGTTTTTTCCAAATTGTCTGTCAAATTTTATAAAAATAAGAGCAATTTCAAAATTTATCGAAATTTCCCAATAAGTAACAGTTACTTTTTCAAATTTACAATACAAAATATTATAGAATGAACATTTTTTTGTCAGTGATTAAAATCAATTAAATTAAAATCAAATAAGAAAAAAAATAAAAATTATGCACAATTGTTTGAATATGGAATTAAAATCTTAATCGTGTAAAAATTACCAATATCAGAATATTCTCCTGGCATCCAATTAAATTAGTTTTTTATTCAATGTTGAAATAATTCTTCAAACACTAATAGTAAAACGTTTTGACTTGTGACAACAAGCATGAAGTTAACAGAAAAACAATTTTTAATTCGTTTCTAGTCTGTTTTTTTCCCAAGAAATTTGCGCCTGCGCCAATTAATCTTGACCAACGCAGCAGTTTTGTGGAATTTACCACTGCGGTTTGTAGATGGAGTAAGGAATTCTGTGTTTAATACAGAAAAAAAAATTCAACACAGAAAACTTGAAAAAAACGACTGTGAGATTGCTTTTAGAATATTTACAGTTTTTCGGATTTTTTGGGATTCCTCTGATTTAAATTCGAAAGCCAATGTCAGATTTCGATTCTACAGAAAATTTTTTACCGGAATTATGATTTTGTATAATTTCTTGAACAAAATTTGACCATGTGAAGTTGAATTTTACCTTAAATAATTATAAAAACCAGTTTTTTTTAATTTGGCGCTAAAATCACAAAAATTGAAATTAAAAAAAAAGCGCCCGACGGATTTTGATTTTTCTTGTTGGAAAATATTCAGTGTGGTACCCCGAACAAGTTGCAATAGGAATTTTTGAAAGGGAGAATGTTGAGGGTTGAGATTGGTTCCAGGGTACCGTGTACATATTCTATAGATAGTGACAAAATAAATTATTAATAAGTAATAGAATGAGATGTTTCTTTAATTAAAAATTAAATTACCGGTAAAATAAATTTCTATCTAAATTAATAATTAATATTATTTAAATTGTCGATTTTGTTTTTAAATTAATACCATTAAAATTATTACAACTTTAATTTAATAATTATTTATTTGCAGTATTAAACCTCAAGAGTTCGTTGATATCACAGATCAAATTATTGATCTGTTTCCTTCAGAGGATAGAGATTACTTTTACATTCCGTACGAGAGAGGTGCAAATAAAGAAGCAATTAGTGCAAGTGGTTGCTTGTACAATCATTACAAGTTTTTAAGAAAAAAATTGAATGAAGCAAATCTGCTAAAAGTAACTTCCTTTGTTAGTGAGAAAAGTAGCAGTAATGAAGGTAAGCAAAAAGTTTATCACGGTTACCACAAAAATCATTTTTCTAATTTCCTATAGATTTTAAAAATAAATAAATTAAGGGGAGGCACAACACCCAGATTTGACCCCTTTGAATTTTAATTTTCAAACATGGTCACATTTTTTTTCTTGCATCATTTTCCACCCAAAAACATACAATATGGTACAAAAAAAATTTTTCCAAGACATTTTCCTTACTTTCTTGACTTGTGTTTATTTACAATTTCCCAGTCGAAAATCGTAAGTTTCCCTGAAGGGTTCACATGGCCTTCAGGTAACTGTTATGAAGGTTTCAAAAGCTTCATGGCAACTATTTATACATTAGACCTAAAATTCTGTGATATTTGCTTTCTGACTTCTTAACGGGAAGCTTTTTCTACAGCTTGTTGAATATCTGTGGACAGCTTCTAGCAAAAGGTCTACCAGTTTGCTTGGTGAATGCTTTCCTAATGCCTGGTTTAATGTGTAAGAAAGCAATTCTATTTGCTTTTCACAAGTTGCAAATTATTTAATTACCTTTTTTACACTTCCTGAAAACTAGAATAATTTCATTAAATTAAACTAAATCGAAAAATCATAAAAATTCTATAGTAATTTGTAAATCCGTTTTATACAATTAATAATTATTCTTTATATATTATATAAAAATTATTTTTCAAAGAAAACGTTTATTTTTAAACACTTAAATTATATACGAAAAAAATTATATATAACTTGAGCAAAATTTGGGGTTAGGAATACGAACACGGTGAAAACCTTTTATATTGAATAATGAATACAATTTCTTAAAAAAAGACAAAATATTTAATATTTAAAAAAAAAGATTATTATTTTTATACTTGATATTTATGAATATTTTTTATAAATAATATATTCTTTATTCTTTTAGAATTTCATAATTTATGAAAATGAATTTAACAGCGTATTTTTATTTACAAATTTTTAAAAGTATTCTACATGAAACATTAAATTATTAATCAATATTAATTGTGTAATTTCACTATAGAAAATTAATTGACAACTAACTTTTAATTGAAAGAAGATAATAATTAATTTTAAAAAAAAGTATTTAATATCACTAATAGATATTTTATAAAACAATTGTACCCTTTTAAAAAGACTGTGGAAATACCGAGTCTGACGTAAATAATTTTTCTTTAATTCTTCAATATTTAAATATAATAATCTAATACATCATATTTTTACGAGATAAATAAAGATGGAAAGAAAGGTTAAATTTAATTTTTGATCATTGTCATTTTTCCTCTGTTTCCTGAAACATCCATGACGCTTCATTTAATTTTCGCCACCTGAACGCTTTCTTTTTATATATGCAAAATCCTGCAACTCTTTGATAACTCTCTTAAAGCTACTTGAATGCTTTGTTTAAAACGTACAAAATTTGTTATTTTCAAGCTTTCCGTGGAAGCGAAAAATCGGCCATAACAGGCTTCCTGAAAGTTTTCTATAGCTAGTTATCTACTGTCTCACAATTCTCTAATGGTTATCTCAATACTTCAAAACAACTTTTTGTGCAGCTTAACATAGCGTAGGATTTTCGACTGGGTTATATTCGAAAAATTAATTTTTTGCGGTCATTTTTAATCATTTATTATTTATATATTATCTCGTAGAAGAAGATGACAACACAGACTGTTTAACGAATGCAGACCCAACGACATTTTCCAAATCAGAAATAATTTTGAAGTGGACCAGTACATTTGATCAACGGATGAAAAAAATCAACGTAAATGACCCGAAAAACGAGATATTGCAGAAATATCTGAGAAGTTTCTCTTGTTTAAAAACGTCTCTAGGAGTAACATTGGTTAAAATTTTGTTAATATACAAAAAACTTTTAATTCTTTTATGGTACGTTTATAAATATAGATACAATTTTTAATTTATTAGCTCGAGTCAGATTTTGAAAAGAAATTGGATGAGTGCAATATAAATCAAAGTCTTCCTGCAACAATTAATGGCCTACAACAGTCTACGATTTCTTTTTCGAATACTTGGTCCAGAAATTCAGGAAAATTGATTTCACTTTTTAAAAAATCAAAAACAAGAGAAGTGAGGCACTTTTTTCAATTGCATAAGGACACCATAGAAAAAGGTTTCTACTATTTCTTTTTAATTTTTCAATTTTAATATAAAATATTTTTCTAAATTAATATAATTAACATACTTGTTAAGAAAACTTAAAAAAAAGTAAAAGTTTGTCACTTATATGTGTATAAATTTTTCAGGGACTTACAATGATGTAGTAGCATTATTTTTGTTGCCAATTTGTTTTAAAGTAACAAAGACTTTCAAAGAAGGAAATGTCACGATTTCTTATTCTAAAGAAGAGATTTCCAGGAGTTTTATATTAAACGTGCAAGTAAGAATAATTAATTTGAATTTCAAAAATATACTTTGCTTACGTATTTTATTAAATTGAATTGAATTAATTTTTTTATATATTATATATTGTTATTTATAATTTAAATATGTTATATACATTTGTAAATTTAATATTTTTTAGGATCCTGAAAATGTAGACACAGAAGTAAAGGAATACGAGAATTGATTACAGCAGAGGAATCTACCTATTCTTCCGTACGTCGTCTTGTGTGGAGAAATTGGGAGGATTTACCAATCGTATGTCATTTTTAATGGCGAAAAATATCCTCATGTGGATCCCGTGAAAGCTGTCGAATCATGCTACAAATGTTTGAAAGCATTAGATAGATGGCCCACTATTTGTGATTTTGTTTGGGGACTTTTAGGAAAGTTAGTCTATGGATTTGATCTGTTTAAAAGTTGTGCGCCTGTTACTAAGTTTTTAGTGGAACTGAAAAGATGTAAGTAATTTTTTTAAAAGTTACAAGTGTGTTATAAGATCGATTGAAAAGTTTTGTGCCTTTTACAAAGTCACTAATGGAACTAAAAAAATTGAATTATATATTTTTTAAAAGTTCTTGGTCCATTACAAGGATCAAAATTTAAAATTATTTTAATAGTTTATTAAAATTAAAAATATAATTTATTATTTTTTAACTTTTAATTAAATCGCGGTTTTATACATTAATAGAATGGATCGCAAGAAAATGATTAATTTTCTTTTAACATTTATTCTGGCATTATACGGAAATCCTTCATTTCCACGAAATATTGTTCAAATTGTTATAGACTATACGAGAAATTTTATAGCAAGCGTATTTTTACCCTGTTTGTTAAATGATATTTTATCAATATTGAAACACGACAATGTTGCTGATAGTACTTTATTGAAAGTTGAAGAATATTTTAAAAAATACAGTTTAGTGTTTAATGATGTTTCAACAGAATGTAAACGATTTGAATTACTGAGACAAAGAGGAATATTAGTTGATTTTGAAGAATTTAGTATTGGTAAACATTTTGTAGATAAACTTATGAATAATGAGATAGTTCTTGTTTCAGAAACTTTACACGCAATACACATCCCATTAAGAAAAACATTAAAATTGTTTTTAGAAATTCCTGGTATGTTAAAGCAAATAACTCAATATATTACAAATTTAAAAAAAGAATCGAATATTATCACGAATATTATGCAGGCTGACATGTGGTTAAAGAAATATTCAAAAAATGTTGGTGAAATTGTTTTGCCCCTTTATTTGTTTTACGATGACTTAGAAACGGGTAATCCATTGGGTAGTCATGCCGGTAAAAACAAATTTGGTGCCTTATATGCGTCCATCGCATGTCTTCCACCGCACATTTCATCTCGATTGAGTAGTATATTTTTGACTCTTTTAGTACGTACTGCTGATAAAAAAAATAGTTCAAATGATAATGTTTTTAAAAAAATTATAGAGGAGATAAATTTTTTGAAAAATACAGGGATTCTTGTTAAAATTAATGGATGTTTACAACGCGTTAAATTTGAATTAGTTTTAATTCTTGGAGATAATTTGGGCCTTAATAGTATTTTTGGATTTGTTGAGTCCTTTACTTCTACCCACTTCTGCAGAATTTGCACAATTTCTTCAGAAGATTTTAAAAAATTATTTACTGAAAATGAACAGATACTAAGGACACGTGAAAATTACGAAAAAGATGCAAAACAATGTAAATTTTATGAAACCGGAATTAAAGAACCATGTACTTTCCACAAAATCACAGGTTTTCATATTACGGAAAATATAACTGTAGATATTATACACGATTTATTAGAAGGTGTTTGCTTGTACGTCTTAGAATCTATAATATGGAATTCTATTTTTGTCGACAAATTTTTTACATTACAAACTTTAAACACACTGTTACAGTCTTTCGATTACAGTCAATTGGGTCTTACTACTGCTTTACCTGCAATAATATTAACCAAAGAAAAAAAAATTAAAATTAAAATGTCTGCATTTGAAACTCTTTGTCTCATGCGGTGCTTTCCACTAGTCATTGGACATTTAATTCGTTCTGACAATGAATGTTGGCAACTCTATAAATTATTAAGACAGATTTTAGACATTGTCACTTCACCAAGAATAATTCGATCGGATGCAAAAAATCTGAAACGGTTAATTCAAGAACATAATCAACTTTATGTTAAATTGTTTGACAATTTAAAGCCAAAATTTCATATTCTATGTCATTATCCAAGAATTCTTCTACTCAATGGGCCTTTTGTCAATTTCTGGTGTATGAGGTTTGAGTCGCGTCATAGATCGTTAAAAGCAAATGTTCACGCAACAAGTTGTTCGAAAAATCTTTTAATCACAATCGCTAGGAAAGAAACTTTAAAAATGGCTGAAATATTTCATTCTTTTCAAAGCGAAAATACCACTAACATCAGTTCACCGGATCATTCAGAATCTATATTTAAATCTCATTTTTCAAAAACTAAATTGGCAAATCAAAAACAGTACTATAATGAAGCAGAAATTAACAACAGTTTTTATAAAGTTGGAACATTCATTGTCTCTAATTTGGAAAATTCGGAAAAAGAGTTTGGCGAAATTTTTAAAATTTTTAAAATAAAAGACAATGTTTTTTTCGAAATTAATGTATTTGACGAAATAATTTTCGACGAACATTTACATGCATATTATGTAAACAAAAGAATAAATGGAACCAAAGTTATGAATTATGCAGATCTGCCCGAAATCGCGCCTTGTATGTCAGTAAAGACAGAAAAAAATCATCTTGTTTCTACTAAATATCGATTATAAATTTTATGGTAAATAAACGAAGACTTTTGGACTAAATGTTGTATATTTTTCTCCCACGATTCCTGAAAATGTCCTGGAATCCTAAAATATGTTCTGAAATGTTCTAGAAAGGCTTGAAATTTTATTTTTTGTCTTCAGATTTTTATATTTTGAATCATTGCTTCAACTCTTGAATAATATTTTCATATTTACAGACTCAATATTATCAGAAAAAAATTGACAACAATGATTTCGATAGGTTAAAATTTCAACGGTGTCTCCCCTTAACCTTTTAACTGATGTTCAAAGAAAGCGAACATTGATCTGGCGAATAGACTTTTTTTTGAGCAACAGCATCCCCAAAAATTAGGAAGACAGCTCCTCGAACACTTAATAAGTCCTTTCCTCCAAGTGGGGGGTTGCTGACTTCCCAAGGACGTGGTAGGCTATACCCCCACGCTTACGGCAGACTCTCTCCCAAGACTTTTTCAGTGTAGACTACAGATACTTGAAGCCAATAAATTTCATCAGTCAGATTCACCAGTTTCTATTATAAAGGTTAATTCATTGAGAATCGAGTGTAACATTACAACAGAATAGTCGATCAAGACGGAGATATTGTAAATTTTCGTGTTGAAACAATAACTATTCTATTACACATTAAATCATTATAGAAAAAAAATCATGGGAATTGTATTCAATAGAAAAATAACTGGTTACGGTTATAAGAAGAGTGAAGGATGCCAAAAAAGTTTCAGTTACAAATCTACAATCAAGGTGTTAACACCAGAAAACATTTAACTATTGAAGAGTTTAGGATAGAAAGTGATCAAACAACAGAAGAGAAGAAGAAATCGAAAAAAATAAAAAAGAGAATAAAAAGAATCAAATTTATCTGCAATTGTTTTATTGTTTTTCTCTTTAGAAAACTTAATTTTTGCAAAAGAAAATAAAAATGGATGACGAAGTGTTGAGTATTGGAAACCCAATTGTTTTTGATGAATCTATTGCTCACTATGAGATACATGCGCATTTACCGTACGCTTCATCAACATTCAATAACAGCGATGAAATTTGAATTGCCGTACAAAAGGATTTTTGGTTTCGCTGAGGATTATCAAAAAATTATTGTAAACGCTAGACACGAATTAATTTTAACACGAGCGAGAAGTGACGTCAACGCAATTATGCAAACGAATGCAGAAGAGATAAAAATTTCCATCGACAAAATTGAATGGCTACTACCCAATGTCCGCTTATCAGATGCAAGAAAATTCAAACTACTCAAATACATTGAAAAGGATCCTCTCATTCCTATAAGTTTTCAAACATGGGAATTATACGAGTATCCTTTAATATGTTATGCTGACTCTAAATTTCATATTATATTATAATATTTTAATATAAAAATTATATACATATAATAATTATATTATTATTATATTGGGATTGGCGGTCGTGACGTCACGAAACAAAGATGGCTGACCGAAGTAGGTAACTGTTGTTACTTTAGCTAGAGATTCGTGTATTTTTTTTGAAAAAATTAAAGAAAACTTAAAATGCGACTCAGTTTAAGTGAAATTTGTGCGTTTACACAATCAACACCCACGAGTCGGAATTTTGTAGAGGGTGAAAAAGTTTTAAACGCCAGATATATTATATTTTGTGGACGAGGAAATGACACCGCCGATGGAAATTCTATTCAGTTTTTAGCATTTTGCTTACAAACATCTAATATGACAAGCCGTCCTCATGAAATTAATGGATTATTAATTTCATCAAGTGCAAACATTTTACAAGGTAAATG